AATAAATTTTCCTCTGAGGACAGATTTCATTACATCCCACAGATTCCAGTAAGTTGTATTTCTATTTTCATTTTCTTGTAGGCATTGTTCAATTTCTTCTTTAATTTCCCCTGGGACCCACTGATGACTCAAGAGTGTGTTGTTCAGTTTCTATATATTTGTGGGATTTTTGCAGTATCTTTTATCATTAATTTCTAATTTCAACGCTCTATGGTCTTATAACATGCAAGGCATAATTTCAACTCTTTTGAATTTATTTAAATATGTTATGTGAGCTAATATATGGTCTATTTTAGAGAATGACCCATGTACTGCTGAGAAGAATGTATTCTGATGTTGTTGGATGGGACACTCTGTATATGTCTATCAAGTCCATTTTTTCACATGTGTGATTCAGTTCTGTTATTTCTTTGCTAATTTTCTGTCTGGTTGATCTGGCCCTTGGTGTCAATGGTGTGTTAAGTTCTCCTGTTACAATTGTGTTACTGATAATTTGATTTTTCATTTCTGTTAATACTTGTTTTATATAACTGGGTGCTCTGGAATTTGATGCATATATATATTTAACATAGTTATCTCTTCCTCTTGAAGTTTTCCCCTAACAAGTATGTAGTTACCTTCTTTATCTCTTCTGATCATTATTGGTTTTAATTTCACATTGTTTGCAAATAGAGTGGCTACTCCTGCTTTTTTGGGGATTCCTGTTACTTGAAGTATTGTTTCTATCCTATGGCTTTCAGTCTGTGAGTATCCTTTTGGGGTAGATGGGTTTCTTGTAGACAGCATATGGTTCAATTTTTGTTTCTTGATCCATTCTGCCAGTATGTTTCTTTTAATTGGTGCATTGAGACCATTTACATTAATGGCTATAACTTTATATGTTGGTTTATTTTTGACATGTTATATTTCTGCTGCTGCATATTTATCTTTCTGTTCTGTTTAATTGTTTGCTTTGCTTAGTGGTTTTTTCCTAAGTGTATCTAAACTGTCTTTCAATATTTTTTGCAGGGTTGGCTTGGTGATCATGAAGTTCTTCAGTTGCTCATTGTCATGGAAGGATCTTATTTCACCATTGATTTTGAAGGACAGTTTTGCAGGGTACATCAGTCTAAGTTGGAAATCATTTTCCTTTAGGATCTGGAATACTTCAATCCATGCTCTTCTTGACTTTATTGTTTATGCTGAGAAGTCTGCTGCGATTCTGATAGGTTTTACTTTATAAATGATATGTCTTTTCTTCTGACAGTTTTTAGTATTCTATTCTTCTGTTTGATTTCTGGGATGGTGATTTTTATATGTCTGGGTGTAGCTTTATTTTGGTTATGACTATTTGGAGGTCTATATGCTTCACTGATCCTGATGTCGGTTTCGGATCTCATGTTTGGGAAATTTCCAGCTATTACTTCTCTAAATGTCCTCTTAACATCCTTTATGTCATCCCCTTCTTTTTCATTAATCCCTATCAATCTTATGTTGTTTTTTGCATCATCTTGTAGTTGAATTCTTATTTCCTGATGCCTTGTTATTTTTAAAAGAGCTTTCCTCTTTTGTTCACTAGCTGCAATCTTGTCTTCAAGGTCTGAAATTCTCTCTGCACTTTCCTTGAGGTGGTTTTTATAGCTTTCAATGGAATTTTTGATTTCCTATGTATCTCTGTGCTATATATATTCTGTTCTGCATCTGCTATATATATTCTGTTTGTTTCTTATATTGCTAATCTAGGGATTCTATCCTTTAGTTTAGTTCCTCCAATTTTTTAACTGTGTCTTCTTTAGATATATTCAGCATCTCTTTCATTTCTTTTATCATTTCTTCTTTTACCTGGAAGATTATTTCTAGTTTAAATTCCTTTAAAGCTTCCCGGAGTTGCTTGTTTATTTCAATTGCTATTATGTCTGATATTTCAGGTGTATGGCATATATTTTCTTCTATATAAATTGCTCTTAAGGTTTCTTTGGATGGGCTGGAGGTTTGAGATTGTAATTTGGTCTTTTGTTTTGTTATTTTCCTATATTTCTGTGTTTCAAGTGCTTCAAGTGTTATTCCAAGGCTTCCTTAAGGTCTTGTGGAAATCCTCTTCTACGGCCTCAGCTCCTGGGACTCTGGCACCCAGTTCCCTGGATTGATAGAGGGTCACCGGGCATGGAGCAGGCCAGCTCACACCCAGCCTCTGGAACCGATGGTGCCCACCTGCTTGCTTAGCACTCCACACTCTGCCAACCACAGCTGGTAGATGGGAGGCTGATTCCATCTCCCCAGACTTGCTGTGCTGCTCCAGTGCACCCAGAAGCCATGAGGTTCCCTGGCCAGGGCTGAGAGTGTCCCAAACTAGCTGGACTTGGGGGAAAGTGCCTGGGGCACTCACACCAGGCCACCAGTCCTCTGGAACCAGTGGCAACCGCCTGCTTGCTTAGAACTCCACAGTCCACCAAGCGCAGCCTGGAAAGAGGAAGTGAATACTGGTGCCCTGGACCCACTAAGCTGCTTCAGTGCACCCAGAAGCCACAAGGGTCCCAAACAAGCTGTACTCAGGGGAAAGTGTGCAGGGCACTTAAGCCAGGCTGCCGGGCCTCTGGAACCAGTGGCACTGCCTGCTTAGAACTGCACAGTCCACCAAGCACAGCCGGGAACTAGGAGACCAGTGTTGGGGCCCCGGACCCACCGAGCTGTTCCAGTGCACCTGGAAGCCACGAGGGTCCAAAAAAAAATCTGGATTTGGGGGAAAGTGCCCCTTACTATTTTTAAGAGTTCTTTACTTTTATGATTGATAGCTGCAATCCTGTTTTCAAGATCAGAAAGTCTCTTCATTCTTGAATGGGTGTGCCAGCTTTCAATGGGGTTTTAATCTCCTGGATATCTCTTTAAATCTGCTTCATGCATTGTAATTCCTTCCTATATTGTTCATTCAAGGTTTCAAATATTTTCCTATGCTTCTCTTTTTTAATCCATGTCTTCTTTAGATACACTCAATAATTCTTTCATTATGTCTGTGATTCCTTCTTTTACCTGAGATATTTCTGACCTGATTACTTTTACAGCCTCATGAGGTTGTTTCTTTACCTCTGTTGCTACCCTTTCAGAGATTTCAGGTGTATGACTTTCATATCCATATCTCCTAGGCTTGTTTTGTGTAGGCTGGAGGTCTGAGATTGTCTTTTACTTCTTCTCGATGTTTTCCTGAGTCCTCCATGATAAGCCAGTTGTGGGGTTCCAGGCACTTCCAACATTGGCTGCCCCTCCATGACACAAGGTATGGAGCAGGCACCTCAGTATCTCCAAACCCATGTCCTTGGGGAGGCAGTAGGGTATGGGACAGGCCTCTTTAGACCTATGCAGCTACTCTGAGGCTTATGTGATGGCCATGGGTCCGTGGTGGCAGGGGTGCTTCTTCTCTCAGCCTGTGTGGGACTCTGCCAATGGTGACAGGCACACAGGGCATTTGTCTGATCCTCCTGGCCTGTGCTGGCTGCCTGTGGGAAGCAAACATGTCCAATGGTTTCCTGCAGGTGCACAGGGCTGTTTTTCCCTGCCCATGCCGGTTATGTGAGGGAAGCAAGCACCTCAAATATGGCAGACATGCAGGAGACAGTCTGGCTAGTGGAAACTTGCCTGGTGGAACCAAGCACCTGTGGCCTCCTGAAACTTTGTATCTGCCCTTGTACAATCTATACAGGGAAGATTTATAAACAGATATGGGGAAGATTTATAAACAGCGTAAATTATTTTCCTGTGCTCAAGAAAAAAAAATCCTTTATGAAGAATGACCTTAAGAGTGACTTTTAAATTGTAGATAACATGTTTAAAACCTAGGTAAAATTACATGATCAAAATATATTATCAAGCAATAAAGAGATCAAATAGAGAGCTCATGATAAAATGGAAGACAATGGGATTGTGAGACTCGAGGTATCCCTTGAGTGTTGGGTAATACATAGATAATGAAATATTACAGGTGGAGTTTATATTCATCTTGCATTTGTCAAGACTGGCTCAACCTATTATTATGGTAATAGCTGCATTAATTACATGCCTACTATATACTAAGTACTTTATATGTTATTTGTAAACTTTAACTATAAAGTTACTAAAATTATCCCAGTCTTTCAAATAAGTAAAACAAGACATAGAGAGATGAAATAGCTTGCTGAAGGCCACAGGGCTACAAGGCGAGAAGCTGGAATTTGAACCCAGGCTTATGTGGCTCCAAAATTTTCAGCACTACACGATATCTCACATATTCTGAAAGGGTGTGGAAAAAATGACAAAAAGAAAGCTTTTATAAATGAGAAAAGGTCCAAAAGTTGGAAGGAGCTGCTACCAGTAGCTGGTAGCAGGCAGGGAGGAGAAAAGTAGGGGGTGAAATGAAAACAATTAAAATGTATTATACACATGTACCAACTTCCCCTTGATAAACTTAATCATCATGTGCCTCAAACATGTACTAATAAAAAAATAAAGATAAAAATTGAAAGCAAATGTTTCTTAGAAGATACATCCTGGTGTTTGACTCAGAATGTATGGCCTGTTCTGTGTGAGTGGACTGTCAGTGTTTTTTCTTTTATTGATATATCACCCATATGTCGCAAGCTTATCACAGGATCTGGGACTTGAGTCACTTCATCCTTCATAGGCTCCATTTGAACACCACGTGATGACTGCCTGGAAACAGATAATACCCTGGCAACCACCCCCAGCCATCAATTTGATAGTGCTTGTCCTCTCTGGCTCAGGCTCCCTCCTATGTTGATCCCTTCCCAGATTCTATATGTTGAGTGTCATATTCAGCTTTCAGCCTATAGCCTGTCCAATACCCAGATTGGAAGATGAAAGGAGAATCGGTTGGGCTTTTTGCTTTTCTGGTTTGTTGGGTTTGCTTCCTCATGATGAGTGGGAGGATGGTACTATGACACTGAGGCAGTGTGCAATGTTGCTTGCTGAGAAGGGCAGGAAGGCCCATTGGGAGTCTCTCCTTGGTGCCTCTTTATGGCCATGAATTTCAACAGTTGTAGTCTGGGAGGGACGGAGGTAGAGTTCTCATTCATTGTTGTCACTGCTTTCATTCTTGTCACACTGGGAGTTGCCCTTGGGAGTTGAGCCAGTGGGAAGTCTGGGGAACCTTCCCTGAGTTTTGGCAGAGATTCTGCATTGGGAGGCGTGAAGAATCTTAGGAGGAAGGTGGCAGGAGGAACTGGAGCCCAGAAGTGAAGGCTACAGAATTGCAGTGGGAGGAGGTGAGTGGCATTTTTGTGGTAGCTGGGTTATTCTAGACTCAAAGTTTGCTCTGAGCTCAAAGTTTTCATATTGGTAACATTCCTCTACTGCCAAAGGAACCACTTTACCTCTAGCACCCAGCTTCCTGACTAGGTTGGTAAATAATAGTCTCTACACTCTCTGAAAATGTCTTCAGATCCCTAAATTGATCTCTAGTCTCTACAGGGTCCTTATGGACCATCAGGGTTAGTGAATGGTAACATCTGTCACACTGGCCAACATACTGGATGAAGGAAAATCAACTTTATTCCTTGTCTAGGGAAAGAAGGCTACCAACTGCTATTAGATCCTGGTATTTAAAAGAGATAACCTACACAAGGAATGTAGTTAATATGCAAACATCAATGTCTGAGCATTATCTCTGGAAGTCACAGTCATACTAAATATATGAATGGATTAATATATTTTTGAGCTGTATTTGGTTACTTTTCACTTTTAAATTAAATGATTCACAACTTAGATGACAAGTTATATACTAATGTCAGGTTTAGAGACTATAATCCAATGTTGATAATTCCTCCAAAAAAAGTCTACTAGTTAGACATTCCCTGTTGACTATATTTTTCTTACAATCAATGATATTTAGAAATTTCAGCAAAAAGTAATGAGAGACTTGGAGTTTTTCTTTTTTACTCAAAGCAAGCATTTTGGAATACTTGATGGTCTTACTTGGACCCAGAAATTCTCCAGAAAATCCAAATTTAGGTACAGATGAGCTTTAGAATATTTCTGTACTATACTTATATTCTTCTACAGTGTCTTACAACCTTGACATTTCTATTAGTATTTTTGCACTCAATAAAAACTAACTTGAGTGTGGGCTGCTCTAAGGAAATAAACTCTATTTGTAATTTGGAGGCTCTAAGCTGCATGCCAATTGGAAAAGAAACATGAAAAATAGGAAACTGTATTTAATGATGGTAGTATGGGGGGACTGTAACCAAAGTCTATATTAGTAGAGAAGTGTACATTTGTACTGATAAATGAAATGGCATAGATTGCACCATAGAGATTCAGTAAATAAAGTCATCCTGAAAACTTAGTCTCCCATTTGGTTGACAGGTGCTTTAGAGATGGAGAAATGGCAGAAATAGAAAGAAAGAAATTTCACACCAGAGGACTGGGCAGTTCTGTTCATGTTCAGGAAGGCAAAGCTGGGTCTGGGTTTGAGACCATTACAAAGTAAACAGACTTCCTAACTAATTGTCTGAGAATTTATCAGGTTAGGTTTTCCTGTCACAGCTTGGCTGTTGCCACAGGTATTGCTAAATAGAACACCAAAACAAAGATAAAAGCTGCATAGGGGCCTTGTATGTACAAGCCCTAGAGCTTAGGCTTTTCCTTGGAGGAGTTGAGTCCTGGTTAGGGGTAATGCTGGTCACCAGAGCAATGTGCCAGTGGTGGGATGACAACACAGAGTCCTCTCTCTGGTCCTTCTTTCCAACCTTGTAGGCCTCACTGGCTTTCATCTTTCTTCTGACAGATGGAATTTAATCATCATTTCTATTTGAAGCTTTCTGCAACTCCACTAGATTCTTTAGACTACACAAAAATTTCCATTATTATAAGCCTCACACTGCTATTTTCCAGTTTTCAATAGGTAAGGCACTACTTGTGGGTAAAGACAGGGGCGATATTTTAATTTCTTGTTTCCCAGCAATGTTAACACTGAGGTGTTTGAAATTTTAAAAAACTTATCATGTTTAGAAGCATTTAATTTAAGCCATAGTCAGAAACTTTTGATTTTTCCCATTTCTTCCAAAATAATGAAAAAAAAAAATATTTTTTACTTCTTTTCATTTCTCCTGTTTCAATTCTTCTTTTTCTATGAGGAGCCAAGAGAAATCGGATTGCAGAAGGTATGAGCAGGGCAAAACTGAGACAGAAAAATGGAAACAATTTTTCCTGCTAATTCCCTCATTATATAATTAGCTTGCTTTAAACAGACATTGGTATTTAAGGACTAGTTGACCAAAATTCATCTGTAAAGATATTATCGTAATGAATGAGTTAATGACGCAAACTATGAAATTTGAAGAACTTTTAACATGCCCATCCAAATTCTGATGAGAATTATAACACTTGAAGAGCAAAAGGTTAAAAATTTGATCATTACGAGTCATTAAGCATTTCACCTTTGTGCCATCTATCATGAAAGGTGAAAACAGATAATAGGGATAACAGTAAGATTTATAGAATGAATCATACTCACAATTTCTCAGTCCATGATACAGAACAAAAATACATGGAGAAAACAGTATATCTTTACTGAATCATCATTTTTCTTGTCATTTTTCCATAAAGAGTACAACACAACAGTTATTTGTGTAATATTTACAAGACACTATGTATTATAAGTAATCTAAAAATGATTTGAAATATGTTCGAGGATACGCAGAGGTGGTATACAAATACTAAGCCATTTTATTTAAGGAAGTAAGCATTCTTACATTTTGGTAACTTCAGAACCAATCCCCCAATGACACTGAAAAAATAACTGTATTTAAAATTCACGTACAAATCAAATTTAAAGTTTGAAATAAGGCATGTACAGATATTTTTTAATGAGGACATGTCTTATAGAACAAAGGACAGACAAAAACTATTTTTCTCCCACATGTTGTTACTTGTTTCATTCTCAAATTCTGAATTTTGCTGTGTACCAGGTTCTGTAAAATCGTTAGACTGGGTGAGTGTGTCAGCTGTTTGAAACAGACTTTCCTGCACTTCATACAGCACTTCTCACTTCTGTTCAGTACATAAAATACTACTTTGTGAGGAGTTTGTGTCTAGACCTCCTGCTTGGTCTGCAAAAGCATTGTAATGACGATGAGCCTGACTCAGTATCTTCATAAAGACTTTTAAAAACTATTGCCATGTTTATTTTACATGTAATGAATGCTATTATCTTTATAACTTTAATAACTTGAAAAAGCCAGAATTGTTAGGCACAAAGATTGTGTGACTCACTTACATTTTTAACGCATGTGTTGAAAGTTGTCGACAAGTAACTTTAAGCTTCAAGGCCAAATCTTGCCACCCAGAGATGTCTGGCACTGGCAGTTCACCAACTCAACAATTACTAAACCATTTCCACTGAAGAGTTTATTGCATCAGTGAGAACGGGTCTGTCTTTGAAGAACCCTATGAAGATAATGTAACAATGATTCACACAATTTGATCGACCTCTATATTTCTTTGAATTAAAACTTTGCAAAACACAGAACAAATATAAAAGTGATAATGATATTTCATTGGAAATTTTTAAAATTTATTTATTCATTTTGCATTACACCTGGAGCAATTCCTTCTGTGAGAGTACACCTGTGCACCATCAACCTGGGTGAGAAGAGAGACTCAGGACTATCACTTAGAAAAATTTGAGATTTGTCCTGTGGAAGCAGCTCCCACTTCATACAGCCACTCACTCCTCTCTGAGCGGAGTCTTAGTCTCCTCTCCTTTCTGATAGGAATCAAGGTGGAGGAGGAGCAGAGGCTTGTCTGTCTTCAGCATGCTTTGAAAGGCAAGTGAAGGAGATGTGTTGAGAGCTGATGTATTGAGAACTCTCTAGGGCAGGCAAGATTGTCATGTGTCTTCTTATCAAATTCCACTCTTTTATTTTATGTTTTTTTGGAAAAAATGACTGACTTTGATTTCTTCCTAGTTGGCATTATTGCAAATTAAAAATCTTTCCTCTCTCAGATTCTCTCACTCTTCCCACACTAATCACTGTCACAGTTTTGAGTTTTTATTTCACATTAGGAGTTAGCAACAAAGAAGCATTATCTTTCCTATATAAGAAATTCAGTCAACTATAAAAAGAAAATTTAGATTCAGAATTTTTTATTTTAGATGAAATCAAAATATTATGTGTGATTTGTTCCATTCATTGCATCATGGAAAAGCAACTGTCTCAATTCTCATTGGCAAAATGGGAATAACATTAAAATGATCAATAATAATGTTGTCAATGCTTGTGAGAATCAAAATAAATGATAATTTGTTGTTATTTTATGTGTGCTTGTGTGTGTGTGTGAAAAATTCTGGGGACTGAAAGTGGGGCCTTACTTATGTGAGGCAAGTGGTCTACCACTGAACTACATGCCCAGATCTTTTTTAAAATTTTGAGATAGTGTTGAAAGTTGCCACGGCTGGCTTGAAATTTTTATCTTCCTGCTTGAGCCTTCTGAGTAGCACCAGCATACATGGCTGAGATTGTCTTTGTTAGATTGGACTGACCCAAGAGTTTTAAGGTATAAAGCCTAATATAGGTCTCTGAAAAACTGACTGTATGATTTGCCCATGGACTGTCTGTTTTAATCAACATCTATCAGGGTGCCATTTAAGACTTTACAGAAGGGCTTGGAAAACTCTAGGTCTCTGTCAAACTAGACTGCTATCTGACTTTTCAAGCGAAGTTTTAATGGGGCACTGACACATTTTCCTGGCTTATTTTCTATAGGTACTTTGATGTTGCAACTGAAAAATTTAGCACATTCTGTCCACTATGCTTTGGTTAATCTTTCACTTAACTGCAAATACTGGTCACTATGTTAAGTAAAACCCAACTCTTAAATTTAAGTCTCTGTGGAAGGTTTAGTTTCCATTGAATTCTTTCTTATTAGTGGGTTTATCACTAAATGATTCTTCTAATTGTGAATGCCTTATTTAAGTGAGTGTGTTGTCTTTGTATTTTATAAGCATTACTTTACATCAGATATGACTATCACATTCATGTTCTTACAGCATCTCTCTCTCTCACTCTGTCTCTCTCTCTCACACACATACACAGAAGTGTATACACACACACACACACACACACATACACACCACTCTGTGTTACTGCCATACCATCTTTGGCCTGTAAATAGCACACACCAAGTGCATGGTCAGTATGATCTCAAATGTTCATAAATATAAAGTCTCAGAAATTTTTACAGCATCTGAATTGTGACTCAA